CCCTGGGCGGCGCGTCCCGAGGCCGCGGGGGTCCGGGGAGGGGCGCGGGCGGGTGCGAGCGCGACCGCGGAAGCCGGGCGTCACCTGTGCCCCGACCTCCTCCTCAGCCAGCCTCTGGTGAGCCTGAGCGCCGGGCCGGGCCCCCGGGGCAGGACGCCCTGCTTCCTCGACCTGCGGTGCGACCCCGGGGCCGGGGAAGACATCCTGGCGGTGGGCGTCCTGAGCTCGGCGAGGAACATGGAGGTGTACGTGGGAGAGGAGTACTGTGGCACCGGCCGGGGCCAGGGCGCCCGCACCGTCCCGGAGGGCAGGTCGGTGACCCCGCCGCGGCCCCTCGGCCCCTTTCCCCGGCTTGGGACGGTTCAGATTGCCTGACGTCGTGCCAGTCACCCGGGGAGGGAACCTGAAAGTGCACCGGGGGCAGAGACGGGGTCGCCTTGCCGCCTCTTACAGGCAGCGCACATCAGCCGAGTGGTTTCCATACCTGGAAACTTGGGGCTGGTCAGTGGAAGTGAATGGTGGGTCACAGCTGGTTAGTGGAAGGGTTTTGTTAGGAGAAGCCCTGACAAGTGCTCCTTGTCTCTCCCCTTCGCTCACAGGGTTGGCTTCCAGAGTTTCCCCCAAATTAATGACTCGGTCAGTCTGGAACACTGAGCTCGTCTTCTAGGAAGCCCCTTACTAAGGGTGTGGGGATCTGAGGCTGCCACAGCCGCCCAGTTGTTAACCGGTTATACACGTGATCCTTTGGGCGCCCCCACCCCCACCCCGTTTCCCCCCCTTACAAAGATTCTGCCGCATCTTTTTTAATGTAACCGAAATTTAGAGCTTTCCTATGTCCAGTGCAAGTTGAAAATAATACGTGTGATCACTGAACTTTACAGTGTGGTCTGTGCTCCATGACTGTATTATCTCCTGCAGTTCTCTTGGCTAGTCTGAGAGGGCCCTGTGGTCCTTAAGGCAGTGCAATGCATTCGGGAGCCCCAGCTCCTTGTGCCTCACCACGAAAACAGTCCCAGGATGGAGTATTGTCCTAGAAACGTTTATTTTTAATCATAACTGTTAATCATAACTAAAAAATTATTTTTTGTTTTTAGAGAACAGGAAAATGTTATTTTCTACAAAAAACATCTAAAATTGGAAACTTCCACATATGCTTGTAAAATAAAGGTAAGCCATCATCAAATTTTAACTAATTTAAATTTTTATCAAATTTGTTTTTGTTCTATATATAATTAATTTTCTTTCCTTGAATACAACTAATCCTATATTGTCCCTAGTTTTATTAAGACATAGTAAACATATAAAAGGTAATTACTTTCCTAAAAAATCATCAATCCTCTTGAAGATTTAATTCTTTTAGTCTATCACCAGTTATGGAAATATATTTTGTTAATAAGAGCTATATTTTGAGGTTTTGGGAAATTTATCTAAAACATTTTTTAATCTTTCTGTAAAACTGTGTTGCCAAAAAAATTACAAACAAAACTTTGGTCCTATGAATTAAACAAGAAGGTAGTGAAAGGAGTTTCAGACAAGAGAACCAAGAAGTTAAAGGGTTTTGGACTGTTGGCTGCAGCATGAAGATTGTTAAGGTTTGCATTAGTGGTGATGTCAAAGTCTAGGAATCATGAGAAATACAGAGCCAGAATATTAACTCAGCTTTGTTGCTGTCACACTAGTCTGAGCAAGCTGCTTCGCTTGTTTGGACGTATTTCGAGAGTAAAATTAGAGAACTGAAGAAAGAAAATTCTTGGGTTCTTTTTGACTCTGAAAAATCTAGACTTATTATCATCACTTATGGGAAATTGTGAGACTTAGTTTTAGAACAAGGTAAAATTAGTGATTTTTCTTTCATTGAAGAACAAAGTAAATGTTCTTCAATCACAGAACTGATTAAAGTGATTCATTCATTCTGTGAATATTTGATGCCAGATACTATATGAGGCATTTAGGAATTACCAGTAGTAAAATAAATTGAAATACTGCCCTCACGTTGCTTATATTTTACTGGGGCAAGACTGGTAATAAGCATGCTCAATGAGTGAAACGGATCCTATATTTGATGTTGAGAAAGTGTTTGGGTATTACAAAGCAGAAGTGGGAGAATAGGTTGGGATGTAAGATAAATGTAATGGGTGTTTCCATGATTGTTGAAGACTGTCACGTATTTGGTTACATACTTAAAAGAGTTTTTAGAGCATAGGTGTACATTTACCTATTGACACGTGGGTCTGTGTGTGTCACTCTGGTGAACGTTTTTTGTAACTGTTACATGGAAACGAAGGGTTGGTTCATTCATGGAACCCCTGGGTTATGTATGAAAGTGTGTTCTGGGACAACAGCATATGGAAGGTTAAGATAAAAATAAAGTGTTCCTGATACAGACTTTTGAGCACTTCCTCAGGGATAGATACTGGATATTTTGACACATAAGCCATCTCTCATTTTACTGACTTGATTTTAGTTTTACCCTGTGTGAGCATTTGCCCAGGGTCACCCAGGCTGTTGAGCAGCAGAGTCTTAATTTAAACCCAGATGCGTCTGGTCCAAATCTCTTCCCTTTCATTTTACTACTCTGTTTTATGGACCACACATGGAGTACAGCTCAGGGGTGGAGCCCTTGCCCCACATGCTTGAAGCCCTGGGTTCCATGCCCAACACTGCAAAAAAAGAGAAAAACTACAGGGATAGAACCAGAGGATTTAGACTGTAAGCTCTGATTTTTAACATTTCCTTACATTTCTAAATCCTGAAAGACTGAATTGTGTCTATAATTTCAGTAAATACTGCTTGGGCCTCTAGACAGTTATATTTTGTATTAAATAATATTATACCAAACTGTGGCTTGTTAAGATCTCAGACTGTTTATTTTTAATGCCTTAAGTTAAGTAAAACTATATTTAATCTACTCAGACTCATTTTCTGAATATTAGTTTGAGAAGGATTTCTTGATTTAAATAGTTGATCTGAGCCTTATGTTAAAATAGAAATTTTTCTATCTATGATGTTCTAAAGATAACTTAAAAACATGTTTAAGTTAGATCCTTGAGTATTTCACTCTTGATTTGGTAATACTAGGAAGTGACTTTAAATTATTGGTTTTAATACCTATATTTCCTGCACTTTTTTGTTTCATAATAGTTGCTGTCCTTTGGTGAAAAACAGTGTGTGTTCCTCAGTAAGGTTGTGGTACACATGAAACCAGTTTCAGGAAATTCTTCACCAAGCTCTCCTGCTCTAGGATCAAGGATAGACCTTGACAAGGTCCAAACCATAATGGAGTCCATGGGGTCAAAGTTATCACCTGGAGCTCAGCAGCTAATGAACATGGTTAGGTTTCAACAGCAGGTAAGTAGCAATGTTTTTCTTTCCACATAGCAGTAAAAAAAATCATTTCAAAATGATGGCCTTTGATGAGGAAATGCAGTATTTTTTTTTTTTTTAAGTGTTTTTCTGTGATACTAGGGATTGAACCCAGGGACTTGGGCATACTAGGCAAGCACTCTAGTGCTGGACTACCTCCCCGGCTCTTATTATATTTTAGATGGGGTTTTGCTTAGTTGTTTAGGCTGTACTTGAACTTGCAATCTTTCTGTCTCAGCCTCCAAAATAGCTGGGATTACAGGTGTGTACCACTACACCCAGCTAAGTTTTTAATTTTTATTATTGATTTAACTGTCATCTGTTCATAGTTTGCAAAAGGCATATTTTGTAGACTTACCCTCATATAAAAAGTTTTGACTGGACAGCTTCACAATTTTTCATTAATTCATTCACCCATCATTCAGCAAGTAGCAACTTTGATGAATTATGGGCTGATTTGAGCACTTTCTAGGATGCAAAAATGATCAATTGGTGTATAGCCTGTTTTTAAGGATTTTTGCAGGCTAGATCATATGAGTGGTCTCATACAGAAATAAATTTTCTCTGATGACTGAGTAAAGCTCCTTTGAGCTAAAAGATTGTTGCCTAATGTTAAAATATTAGAAATATAACCCATCTTATTCCAGGAATATTTTAAGACTTATTCAAAACTTGGACTAGAACAAGAAAAAATGACAATAGGCCAGCATTTCTCTATGTAGAGCCTTTTCCAAAGTGCATTTCTGTAAAATATGTTGGATGGGTACTTGCTATCACAGGTGCCTCTGCCTCCACTTCCCTGGCCCTCATTATCCCCTTTCCTGCCTTATTTTTTCCCTGAAGTATCTATCACCACCTACATCCCATGATGTTTATTTCCTCCTCCTCTCTCCTCATCCCTCACGTCTTTCCCTCCGTCCTTTCAGGCAGTCTCTCCCTACTATCTTAAGACTCCCAAGAGGTCAGAGATTTTAATTTGTTTGATTCACTGCCATATTTCTCATACCTCAAGTGGAGCCTAACACATAAATTTCTGGTAAACATTTTTTGAATAAATGAATGTAGATCTAACTTGATCTCAGAATAATTTTTACACTATCTAGATGAGTGTATGAACTGAACTTCTTTAGCTAATCTTGATAATTACTTTTCAGCCCATCTTTCAAAAACTGAATAGTAGTAAGTGTGGGATGATAAACCCTGATAAAAACCTGTAGTAGGCTTCTACGTTTTGAATTTAAGAGCTCCATATGCCTTCACACAAACAATTCAGTTAGAGGTCATTTGGTTTTGCTTTAGTGGAAAAATTGAAAACCTGAAGAAGAAGATAGCATACTTTCTCTTCAACATAAAATCTCAAGAAACAAAGGAAAGAATAACACACAAGCAATTTAATCATGGTACCAATATGGAATTTTGGTTTTTTTTTTTATTTTGGTGTAGGGATTGAACCCAGGACCTCACACTCTTCAGGCAAGTGTTCTACCACTGAGCCACATCGCTAGGTCTTTAATTCTTATTAAGGTGGAAATTCTTAAACACAGACAAGTGGTAGCTCATTTTAGTTATTGAAAATGTCACAGTGCTAAGTGGAATAACCCAATCCCAAAAAACCAAAGGCCAAATGTTTTCTCTGATAAGTGGATGCTGATCCATAATGGGGGGTGGGAGAGGGCATATGAAAAATGGAGGAACTTTGGATTGGGCACAGGGGAGGGAGGAGAGAGGAAGGGGCCTGGAGGGTAGGAAAGACTATGGAATGAGGTGGACATCATTACCCTAAGCGCATGTACATATGGTGCTGCACATATGTGTAAC